GCAAAGAGCATACAGAGGGTATGTCAAGCTGTTTGAACCGAGAGACTGCCAGAACAATGGGATATCTCGAAAGTTACGCTGATCTATAAGAAGGGGAACAAAAACGAGTGCTCGAACTATCGTACTATATTAGCACAATGTGCTGCAGCAAAGATCTTCAGCATTATTATACTCGCAAGGATCTACCCCGAGATTGATAGGAAAATTGATAACTCCCAAGTAGCCTTCCGCCGCGGGAGCTCCGGCCTAGAAGTGATACACGCAGTACAATTATTGATAGACAAGTGCAATGCATTTGAATTACCACTGACATTGACCAGTACTGATTTCAGAAAAGCCTTCGATAAAATATCTCGAGATCACGTATATGAATCTTTGCGGTTGGCTCGGGTACATCCGAAGTACATCACGATTGTAAAAAATTGTTATGAATCGGCAAAAGTCACAATAAGGTTGCATAAGAGAGAGCAGACAATTGAGCTCAAAAGTGGACTGCGACAAGGTGACTGCTGGAGTCCCCTACTTTTCATCTGCGGTTTGGACCGTGTCTTCGGCAGAAAGGATAAGGGAGTCGGAATACGGATTTCGGTTAGTCAAGGAGATACAGCCCGGACGATACACTAGACTCAGTATGAGGAAACAGGATCTCGGACTATGTCGCAACGAGTTAAGTTTTGCAGACGACGTTACAATACCTGCCTCCACAATCGAAGGAGCTGACCGTCAACTATCGCATCTCGAGGAGGATGGAAAAATTGCAAATCTCGTGATAGCACCGGAGACTGTGCGTTAACCTGGAGAGTAAGGAAGGCAGCTCGGAAAAGTCAAGGATTAAATGCACTGATAAATTGAGTATCCTCGGTGCCATAATCGATGGCAAACGGGATAATGAAACCCATATTCGTAGGCGCATGCAACTCGCGGAGCAAAGAATGGCAAGACTCCAGAAAGTTTGGAACTCGCATGATGTAAGCCTGAGACAGAAGTTTATTATTCTCCGAAGTGTAGTATTCTCGATATTATTATATGCTAGCGAGTGCTTTGCCCTGAGCAAAGATGAGACGGAGAAATACTGTGCATTCTATAACAATTGTATACGGAGGGTGTTGCATATATCGCCTTTGTCGCACACCACAAACCGCGAAATCTGGAGAAGGTCTGGCTGTCCTGATTGTCACATAGTCCTTAGAATGCGTCGCTTGCGTTGGTATGGCCACATCCTTAGAACACCCCCCGCATCTCTAGTGAACAGACTGCTGTTGTGGGATCCGGCATATCATTTGGGAGCTCAGATAAGCGGGAGAAAGCGGGAAGGTTGGATGGATCTCATAGCAGAGGATTTGAGGGTGGCGAGTCTGTCGCGCGGAGATGCTCAGGACCGAGTTCTCTGGGAGAGAAGGATTAAGGCTTTGAGACCGAGATGAGAGACGACCACCAAAAGAAAAAAAAATCTCAGCCAAGTGCTGGTCTCCTTGCGCTGAGTATGTCGACCTTATAAACAACCCAACTTGCCCTCAGCTGTTGGTTTGTCGCCTGGCCGAAGACGGCCGAGAGCGAGAGAGAGAGAGAGAGACTCGGGCATTCGGCCAAAAATCGACGAAGGCGATTTCGTTATCGATGATCATGGTTACACTGGCAAACATCTGTCACTGTGAGTTTTTCCCACCGCGCCACAATACAGCTATGATAATCACCATGTTGTTCAGATACGGGATAGAGTCGCCCGGTTTGACAGCAGCATTAGCTTTAGCCGAGGAGGTTCTGGATAAGCTGGGAATGAAGACAGAAGAGCCTTTGCCCGAGACTGTCGAGTGATCGTATTTTTTTGTGTCCGTGCTTTCATATATTCCTTTCAACGAATCCCGGCTTCGTGTTGGTGGCGATCGGGAGGAATGGATGGGAGAACAGCGGGAACATATATGTTGTAACATTCTTCTTGGGAAGGGGCAGCGTCATAATGGGGACTGTATCAAATCCTACTTAGGCAGGACAATACGTAGGGGTCCCGACGCCGCGTTCCTCAGCTTGAAGGTCATTTCGGGATGAAAGGTGCATCGTGCACTCAATCCTGTTGATTTTCCATACACCTCACCGTCGCAGTAGAGCTTCCCACGGTATTGACAATGACAACACTTGAAATACTAGCTCCGAAGGATGACGCCGAAGAGAATGGTCATCGAAACTGATGAAATGAATCTAACAATAAGTGTGAAAGTGGATTGTCACTGTGGGATTAATGGGAGCCCCCCCGTTGACTAACACTACTCGAAAGTGCCACTTGGACTCAAAAGGAGAACTACTTAGTCTCATGATCTCTTAAACGAACTTAATCCTCATCTTACGAACTTGAATCGTCGTAAAACTGGCCATCCGGCCATAGCGAGATCGATCCGGTGCGACTGATGCGCATGGCACGCGTGCACAAGAGAGACGAAAGGGAGTCGCTCTACAATAGAGCTGGCTAGCATGGTGTAATCTGCTGTAATCGACTGTCCTTCACTCTACAGTCATAAAATATGTGGCATGAGTCAATGCTAAAAATATTCTATGACTTGCCTAGTGGATCTCGACAAGAATCGATTCTGAACCCTACATTTCTTGTCTAGAGGGAAATGGCATCACGAATAATGCCACGAAAAAAGTAGTTGATCTGAGAGATACATTTGGATCGGACCATATGGTGCAGGAGACAGCGGCTTGTGGATTATTTATCCTGATGGCGGAACACACTCGGGATCTTGCCCCAATACGGACTTATGGTGTTTCTCTTATCCGCTCCAGTACTATAAGTATACACTAGAGGTTCTTTGAAGTCGTCAATAGTAACCCGGGTATCCGCGCATGCCTCGACCTGGAGCTCGAGGTCAGTCTTGTCACAACCGATAGCAATGTTGTACTTGGACTTAGTCGTAGTGGGAGTAGGTGTAGAGAACGTCATCCCCTTGACAATAAGCTTGCAATCGTAGACTGTAACCTTGATATCGAAGGTCTGCTTCTGAGCATTGAATATGATGCCTCCATATGAAATTGGGTCGATGCTGATGTACAGCCCATTAGGCAAAGGAATAGCCTTCAACGAAGGGGCCTCGATGGCGACCATGAAACTTACGCAGAAGGATGCAAGGAGGATGGAAGCGAACCGCACCATAGTAGTGGAGGACGATGGAGTTAACTGCAAACTGAAAAGGGTATCTAACGTTTGACCTAGGAGCCAAACGTGAGTGGATATTCCACCGTGAAAGTGTTAGATAGAGAAGCCATTGATCAGAAGTGATAACATCGGATAGAGCCGTCACGCGTACAGCTTATAAGTGTCGTACGTTTGGGGAAAAATAGATAAAGAGCACTGTTAAAGTACTACTACATATATAGTTATCCCATCACGGGAAGAGATATCACTGTAAGGGGCTCACCTAAAGTTCCATCTAGGCGTATGGTACTGTACCATTGGTACACCGTGTATGCACAGCGCCTGTAGGGGCGATGAACACACAGTGTTCATCCATTGTGTGTTCGACCTTCACGCGCGTCAGTGCGTGTAACGCGTGTATTTTGCGTGTCCCCTGGAACACGCATAGGCCATCAAGGGATATAATGAAGCTTTTGGCAAAACAAGTGGTCCACACCATGATACCGGCGCGAGACGACATGAGTGGGAACTCAGCGGAAACGAGAGTCGCTAATGTGATTTTACGAAATCAACATGGTGCGGTAACAGCTAAACAGGACTGTAGCGTCGGCTAGCTCAAATCCGGGAATGACCGGTGGAAAATCACCCTCTCCGCCCCTTGAATATGGGGTCTCAAATAGGTTATGTGAGTTGAACATCAAAAGGGAGGAAGTGAGAGGCTGCACAGGAGGATATAGGGTCATAACCCGTCATAGCGCCGGAAAGATCTGGCGAACCATGTCTTATGGAAATGGGTGCAACGAACAGGACCGATTGGGCACGTATCATCGGTATCGGCGTGACGATATTGCGCGCGTGAGAAACACTTAGGGAGTCCCTTGGAGTGTGGATCGACACATAGTCATCCCTGGTAGGAGTCGGGTTTTACATTGCAGTATCCGTATAGGAATCGTGGTTGCGATGTCTTATGACAAGAAATGCCCTTGACCAGTTACATATGCGTTAATCCTACTGTACCACTGCTAAGCTCCGGTACAGTTGTGAGTCAATACTTGCACACAATACCCTTGGGTGTGCCCCAGGTTAACGTGTACCCAAAGAACTCTCACAACCTCTACAGTGAAGGCCCTTCATTCTCGAATGGCAGTCCTTCATTAACTATTCGAACAGAAGCCAACGGGAGGAAGGGAACCTATGCGTTGATTCAGGGAATTCACTCGTCATGCATAACAACTTGAGTGGGCCATGATCCGAATTTATCATTCCACTCGATATACTCCTCAAGCTTAGCACCACTGGCATGACTGTGGGCAAGCGCATCGTCGAGATCAGCCTTGACCAGCGGTCGAGGAATAACATTAGAATATTCCTCCTCGTCACCCGATGATACAATTTTGGCCAGGCTTCCCGTATGGGTACCTAGGAGTACCATCAAA